GTTGCCAGTGCCTCGCCGGAGAAGAAGAACCAGACGCTGGAAGAACCGACCACCGCCACCCGCCGCCGAATCACTGTGTGTGACTAGATATGCTTAGTCTCCACCTGTGTATAGGAGTCAATATGTAAGCAAAACTGCACTTCGCCCTCGACCAGAGCACCAACTTCCCGAATATGCTTTTTGTTCACGCCATGTATGGGTATGAACAGAAATAGTCTATAGATAAATCAAGCAATATTTCCAGGCAAAACCAACGGACTGAAAAGTGGATGATGCAGAGAATTGTGAGCTTGCTATCTAGAAAGATAATGACAAGTTCATGCAAACAGTATTCCATGTGAAATCTGTTCCCTGAGGCAGGATCTCAAGACGTCTTGCAAAAAATTAAGATGCTATTTCAGTATTTAACACAGAAATGAACAAGAATCAGAGTCCATCCCCGAAGAGGACCATCTGCTTAGAGTACATATTTGAGTATATGCAGAAACCAAAAAAAATAACTTTAGGCTCAACTTACCACCAGGAGCTTTGATTTGTTATTCCACCCTCTCTGAAGTGTCATCTGGCTCAATCTTAGACCCAGCACCTGTATGAAAAGGCAAAGATAGTTGGCAAAGATCATTCAAGAGACATCAAAGAGACGCCACCAATTTACTCTAGGAGAGCAGAAACCTAAAAGAAATGGAAAGCATACTTTTCCCATGAATTCCAGAAGCTCATTATTAGCTTCCCCACGAGCTGCTGGTGCAGCTACAGTGATCCGAACATCGTCAGCATTAACTCCTGTTAAGTAAAAACTTAAATATGTCAGAACTTACACATCAATTGTCAAAGTCAAAAGTAATGAAAAGCAAGCCAAGACAAATTCGTCAAACGTGTGCTTCCACACCAACAGTCCATGTGTTACTACCACACAGGGCAAAGTTCTCTCTGTTGAAAAATAATCAATTTTGCAGTAAACTATCATAATTCCTGAAAAGGGTCTAAGATGCTGAGAATGTTGTATTCCTACAATTTGTTATGCCAGGAGGGTCACGTAGGCCATTGCTTATTGATTGTAACTACTGAAAACATGTCACGGTAGTAATGCCACAACATGCATACGAAGATATAATGATGACTGTATTCTTCCGTCTAGGTGATTGTGTATTATTTTCCTAAAATGATATACTACACTGGACTATGTCACAATGGACAAGACTTTGGAAGTTGCCTTGTCCAAATACAACCTAACCTATAACAGATCAGGGCTTCTTAGGTTTTCCTCATTTTACAAAACTGCAAAGGCATTCTTCCACCCTCTTTTTTCTCCCCCTTCTAACCATTACTTCTCAAGCTTTTTTTAGGCGGAATCCACAATCCTAGCATCATACAGTTTAAAAAGAATCATTCTTGCAAAACCCATAACAAGACCTCTGTTACTTAGAAACACATTACTCTAATGGCCCATTTGATTCAAATTTCATTCTGTTCCTAATCAATTTTATTCATAATTTTGAATTAGTCTTAATAAGTGGAACTACAGAGTAGTTTTCATGTTTGGACCACCTTCATTACCGCCTTGAATTCCTTGAGGTAGCTCAAACATGGTGATCTAGTTATAGCTTACATATTACAAATAATACCAAGAGTAGGAGCAAATAACTTCTGTCCTTGAGGTTTGCCCCTGTTCAAATCTGAATCCTGTGATATCTTTAAGTGTTTGAGATAACCCATTTATTTTTATCGATGATACTTTAATCTTTTGTCAACCCAATGATAGCATGCTTCTCCACCTAAAATGTGTTCTACTTTGTTTTCAAGCCGTTTTGGGTTTACGAATTAACATGTCTAAATCTGAGATGGTTGGGATTGGGATCAACAATGATGTGGACTCACTTGCTATGGTCCTGAAGTGCAAAACAGCAAAGCTTCCCATTAAATATCTTGGGATCCCTCTTGGTGCAAAACACAAAGATGCCAAGTGTTGGGAGCCGATTATAGATATCTTTGATAAACGCCTAGCCGGTTGCAAGAAAAATTATTTGTCAAAGGCAGGGAGATTGACCCTGATTAAAAGCACTTTATTCAACCTCCCAACATACTTCCTTTCTATCTTTACTGTTCCAGTTAATGTTGCCAAAAGTCACGAGAGAATTAGATTGTAGTTCCTTTGGGGAGACAACGAAAGTAAGAAAAAATTTTCATCTTGTCAATTGGGAGGAGGTTAAGGCTCCCATCAGCTCCGGTGGCCTCCGTCTGAGATCAATCAATACTCTAAATAAAGCTTTGCATGGTAAATGGGCATGGAGATATTGGCATGATAATAACAGCTTCTGGAAAAGAGTAGTGGAAAGCAAATGGAATCTGAATGGCAGACAGAACCAAAATCTGTTGGATCACAGCAGGTATTGGGAGAGTTTATGGAAGAGCATCTCTTTAACGGGAAAATCTGTTATGAACTGCTCTAAATAGGAAGTGGGTAAAGGCAATAAAATTCAGTTCTGGTCTGACCCTTGGTGCGGAAATACAAATCTGCAATCCCGTTTCCCTCTCGTTTATGCTTTATCCAAGGAAAAACACATGCTTATTGAGAAAGCCTTCGACAAGAGCAATGGAAGGGGTTGGAATATCGTGCTTAACAAGAATTTGAATGATTGGGAAGTTGTGGAATTTTGAGAATCTGCTGGCATTATGGGAAACCACCCCGATTAACAACTATGATGACAAACTGATTCGGTACTTGGAAGATGGTGACCCTTTCGGTGTCAGTTCCTTTTACAATCACATTGCTAGCCATAACAGTACGACCAGATCGGTTTTTCCTGCAAAAATGATTTGGAAGGCAAATACTCCACCAAGAATTTCCTTCTTTGCTTGGGAAGCATGTAAAGACCGCATCCTAACCATTAATAATCTTATGACAAGAGGCATTATTCTAACCAACAGCTGTTTTTTGTGCAAGAATAATACCGAAACTTGTAACCATCTTCTGCTCTGGTGCCCCATCATGTATTTTTTATGGTCTATGGTCTACTTGGCACATGTTTGGTAATGGCTGGTTTTGTAAAAGAAGAATTGCTCGCTTGGGAAGCGGTGTGCAGGAAGAACAAAAAATTCAGACTTATCCCACTTACTATTTTCTGGGTGGTTTGGAATGAAAGAAACAAATGAGCCTTTCATGGAAAGGAATATATTTTTGGAAACATTATGAATAAATGGCTACATATTTTTTGTTCCATTGTGCTTGAACATAACAGTAACCATTTTGACGATTTAAAGTCAATTGTACATATGTAAATTGACTTGTAAATCTTTTGTATATGGGTTAGCGCCTCCACTTCAATATATTCTACACTTTTTTCTCAAAAAAAAATCTTCAAATGTTTGAGCTTCTAAAAATGCATATTTGGATGGCCAATGCTAAACCAGTAAAAAAAGAAATATAAGATAAAAGAGCCTAGAAAAGTAATAATACTTCTGTGTAAAATAATAAACAAGCAAACCTCAAGTACTGAATTTTCATAAAGGAAAGCTGCATTTTGCCCTAAACTTAATCATAAGAAATAATAGGAGTCAAATGGCCATTAAACAAATGGGACCTCACTTCCTATGAAAAGCCACTGTAACTCAAATAACTTCTTGTCTCAAATTAGCAATGCAACTTGTAACACCAGAATTCCACTATAGTATTATTAACGGATATATTTGAAAGGCAATCTTTCTCTAGAATGTAGACACCTTATAGTTCTCCTTATTACTTCACTGTTAACACCATTTTTTCTTCTATTTTGTAGGGCTTGTTAACATCTCTACCACCACTTGTGTTAAGCATCAAGATATCTATAAAATTTCTCAGGCGTTTTGGAGAAACAGTGAAGTCTGGTGCTCAGTACCCCACACACCCTTAAGGAGTAGTCTTGAAGCAAAAGTCAATTTCCAATAACTTCCTCCAAGAAAAATGTTCGAAATGCTACGCTGTATTAAATGTAAACAACTTCCTTAGAGCTTACAGCCAATTGGTTGAAAGAACACTAATTTTTCAGTTAAATTCTCGAGATCAACACTAGAGCAAAATAATAATAAAAATTTATTGAATGCAAGAAATGCAGCATGCTCATATATTAATAAGATGCAAGTGTAAAAGAAAAAAAAAATGTGTATCATATGTTGAAGAAAATTCCCACAGAAAGAATGGCATATATAATTGGGGTAACAAAATAACATATACATAATTTACAGCAACAATGCTTAGGACCATTTGGAAAGAAGCAAACAGGCAAATGTTTCTAGAAATTTGCTCCCCTTTTGGTAGAATTAGAGATAATTGGTTTCAAACCTTATTAATATTTTTTCTTTTAATGGCTTGTCAAGGCCTTTAGCACCTGAGTGGCCCACCCTTGTTGTCCTGTTTACGGCAATTTCTAAAAAAGAATTACTAACATACAGCTAATAACTACATTACTTGTAATTGCTGAACGTTGTGCACGATCTTCCACCTCTATGGCAACTTGAACAAGTCCTCCTTCTAACTGTGATATGCAAGGTGGCACTGGAGCATCCTACAGCATATACAAGAAAATTATGACTCAAAATTATCAATAGCAAGTGAAGAGATGCTATATAGATACTATATTAGCAACACAGAAGCAACAACAGCAACTGAACGGCAAATATGCAGTCTTAAATCTTGCCATAACATATGCTTCATTTGGTGCATATATATTTTGTAATTTTTATTTTATATAGGTATATAAATGTATATTTACTTATTTAGACAAAGAAACATATAAGGCAGTTGCAAATAGGAATAATATTAATTATTTTTAGAATGAAATGTAAATAAGTTTAAAAGGAAAAAGAAACTATTTTCAGTGTTTCCTTAAGAAAATATTTTTTTGTTAACAATTTGAGGACCCCACCTACATGTATCCTAGCATATTTTGTTGCATAAACATATACGAATTTAAAAAATAGAGGCAAAAAAATATTTCACCATGCTAAATGGAGTCAAAGCTTTTTAGTTTCAAGATCAATGGTTTAGAATGCAAAGATATATTTATACAAAGCCAAAGACCAATAATCCCCGCGACTGTTTGTTGTACCTGTGGATTGGTTTCAGCAGCAATGGTACTAAGTGCACCATCCACTACATAAATGAAAGAAGCAGTTTCCAGATCTTCCTCAGACCGATAGCAAACAAAAAGACCACAACCCACACAATTCATACGAAATTGCTTCTCCAACTTTCCTTCGCCTCTACAAATAAAAAGCTAAATTAGATAAGATGATCAACTATGTACCAAATGACTGTCAAATAACTTGAACATTTTTCTAAGGCTTAGGTGATCCTGGCCACAAAGTTAGAGAACGTGCAACATGGTGTCTGCCATCTATGAATCAAGCCAAAGAACCATTTCCTTACACAACACTATCAAAAAGCAAGAGAGCTTTGGCAACTCATCAAATAGTGCTTTCGTCTAACCAAAGCATCGCCAATATGCATTATTTTATTCAGTTCGGAGCATTTGGAAGTAACAATTTTACAATGAGTTTTGGGGGACATTTGAACGGAGTTCTCGCAAGAGAATGAGCATGAGCAGGAGCCTCTTCTAGCCACAAAAGCACTGTTCAAATCAAATCCACTGTATGCACCAAGTCCACCTCTTAATCATTTCCTCCCATGCTCTCCACAAGTACAAATGTTTTGTTCGCCTGTGTTTCTCTGTTAACCTAATTTCACTTATATATACTAGCATGTTTCCCCATATTCTAGTAGCCAGTAAGCTCTGTGCCCCAAACTTGCACACAACACTCCCATCCTTTCCCTCTCGCCTACTAGGCTGATATGATGAATATATTTCCATGACATTTCTAAAACCTCAGTAGAAAAGTATTTGCTCGAGGAAGACCTGAACATCCTAGTGGAATTGAAAATTAAGACAAATCCTAGTGTTTATTCAAGCTACGATTATCGCAAACATTCGATAAGCATAAGCAAATATGTATGAAGGTAACAAAAAGTTAAAACAAAAAACAAAAAATATACAAGAACTAAATTGCAGCCAGGTCTACAGAAGAATTGAGTACAAATACCGCTTCAAAAGAACTTTTCCAGCCTCGTTAACGTTTAATCTAGCTAGATGCTTCTTTTTATCCAGAACATAAGCTTTATCGGTCTTCCTTCTCGGCATTTTCTGCAACTGGGTATCTTATAACAGATACATTTCAGTATATGAAACAAAAGCGATTGATCAAGAAAGTTAAAAGAAAAAAAAGCAAAAAGCGGCGAATCAATTATAATGAACCGAATACAAATGAAAAAAAAAAAAAAAAAATCATTGTAATAAATCAAGCATTAGTTTGAAGGTAAAAGTGGTTGGTAAATGAAATAAACAAGCAAGAGGGAGAAAGAGAGAGAACCAGTAATGAGGACATGGGATCCACAGGGCTTGCAGTAGTAGACGAAGAGATCGGAGTCTGGTCCATCCGGGCCTGCATCCTCGCTCGAGTAGGTGTGCGTGGTTCTCTTCGGCATTTCTGCTCCTCTCTCTACCGCAGCAAGCTGGAAAGCGTGCGGGGTATATGACTTCCTTGTATACAATTTACGACAAAAGTACGACGTCGTTTCATCAACAACCACAACTCTCTTTAACAGTTTCTATAGAACCTTGAACTTGAAGAGAGATTTAATTAGAGTGGTCAAATGAGTAGTTCAAATAATTTTGTTTTCACTCTTTGCTTTTCTTTTCCCCAAATTCGGTTCAATTTGGTTTTTTTCTTTTTTTCTTTTTAACTTCTAGTTTATAATTTAATTTTAATATTTATGTATTAATTTTCGTATATAATTTTTAACCAATAATCACTCTATATGTAAAAAAACAGGAACATCCCTAAATAATGGAAATTGAAACTTATTTATACTTTTCATTGGGCGTCAATTTTCCATTAAATGTCTAATTAAAACTTTCTTTTTGAAATAATAATGTATTTTCTGCAAAAATATTGTCTGATTAAAACTTTATTATAAGAACTTTGTTGGAGAAGTCCATCTTGTTAAAGACTTTGTCAGACATGAAATTCACTTGCAAGTTATTTGCTCGGGAAGAAATCAACACAATCCAAAACATAATAACAGCTTGTAAAAAACACACAAACACCTTACACCAATTTATTATATCATCTAATAAGATTCTTCATTATAAATATGGCTGACAATTTAAACCCCAACAAAACCAGCCACCATAATTAAACAACACCCATTTGACTTCAAACTCGAAAAGAAAAATTCTAGATAATTTTTAGAATAAATATTAAAAAAAAAAAACATATAATAATCCGATCTCCAAGCAATACCCACTTCGCACAAACTCTCCCGGAAAGACTTCTTCTGCAACACAAAAGTAAAATGGTCAGGTATCAGGCACTGCTTGATGATTGTTATGTCTTAAGCCATGATGGTTACTTACATATCTTGTTGAACGCAACAATATCACAACTCTGGACATATTCATTTATCGGCTCCACTGTCAAATGTTCCTCGATAAGATTGTCAACTGAGACCAAGTCATCCACGATGGTTAGCATTATCTGCAATTTCTTGATACCGTAACCAACAGGGGCAAGTTTGGCTGCAAAGTGAATAGTCCCATTTGTTAGAATCATGAGTTAGTTCATTTTTTAGATAATGAAAACCAATAAAGTCAAAAAGTTAACATCACTTACATGCTCCCCAAAGCAGACCTTCCATCTGAACTCCTCTTACTGCTTCCTCAAGCTTTTTCATGTCAGTTTCATCGTCCCATGGCTTAATGTCCATAAGAACTGATGACTTCCCACCTGAAAAATGAATACAAATTTAGCCTTCTATTTACATTCAAACGTAAGGAAATTTTTGTCTTTTTTAAATTAAAAGAAACGCAAGGACATTGGAAAAACTCACTTTCTTTCTTCTTGGCAGATGCCTTGACAGCAGCTGCCCGGTCTTCGGCTGCCTTCTTTTCCTCTTCAGTCTCTTCACCAAAAAGATCCATGTCGTCATCATCATCTTCGGCAGCAGCAGCCTGGACCTCATTTATCGATGAAATGATTAGAGACAACCAATAAAGCTTGGTAAACTAGCAGTGTAGAAATTATATTTAAGAATAGACACCAAAGGTTTCACAGAAAGAAATAATACACCACAAGAAATCTACTGCAAGCCCTCAATCAAAAAAATGACTGCATTTAGGTCCATTTGATCCATCAACTCATTGTATTTTAGTTGTCATTTTTACTTTATTACAGGCAGATCACAATTTCCAGAACCACTTTGACCCCTCGCTTCAAGTCCTTGGAAATCCTTGGAATAGAATTCAACTCCTACTTTCTTGAGTACAACTCAATTTGATCCCCCAAAGAATCTAAACAGGGTGGAAGTGCCCAAAATATAAACTATAACTGCAATCTAAATCTGAAGGACATGTTAGAAATTTCAAAAATAAACACATAAGATTGAAATTAAATCGACCCAATCCGTAAAGCATACGAAAATGGAAACACATTGCTAACCTTTGAGTCCCCAACTGGAGGAGTTGCAACTGCATCTCCTGTGATGGGAGCAGAACCCTCAACAATGACGCCACAACCATCAGCAGAAACACCTCTGAAACAGCACATTCAAAATCAGTACACATGTGACATAATTTTCCTAATTCAAATGGGTAAATGCTCATTATAAGCAACAAAATTTACACATTAATAGCAGTTTAATAAATCAGAAAAACTCACGAGATTCTCAACAGTGCATCAATGTGATCGTACCAACGAGATACATTCAAATACGTGGAAGATGGAGCCTTCGAAAGAGCCTCAAAAACAACTATATCATCCTTTGATGCTTGGTACCTGTAAGGAGAAGGAAATAAAGAAGACACATTAGATTATCGAGTATTATGTCATGTGTTTACTTTTAGGATGAGTTATTAATTCTTCGTTTCATCAGCAGGGTATGAGACCATACTGATAGGCTCAATATTCATAGCGACCAAATATGAAGCATTTTTTAACTGTAATTTCACTTCTGTTTGTCCCTCAATTGCGTAAAATTACTTTTATTGTTCTAAATAACAGCCACGATTGATTAACTACAACCGTCACCAATTATGAAATAGACAGTGAAGAAAAGAAACAAACAAGACTTACCCAGTGATGTAACTGCGAGTAAGCAGGTAGTCGTCAAGCTTCTTCAAGCCAGCATCAGAGCTGAGGTCATGGAATGCTACTGCCATTGCTGGGGTCGTTATCTATATATAGGGTTCGTTCCTGAAAGCACACGGGCAGAGTTAGAAATGATTTCATTTTTTTTCTCAATGCTTAATAAATTTTTATGATCTACGCAAAAGAATTTCACACAGACATCAATTTTACGTTCGCTAGAAAAATAATTACACCTAGTGACGAAGAGATCCAACATTTCAAATTTTAAAACAAAATAAATTGATATTACAACAGATGTTTAACCGTTCGACTCTTTCATCAGCACATCAATCCACTCTGCTAAAAATAAACAACTAGGCACATCGCTACTATAATCAATATGCTTCTGAAAACTATATAGTCAACATGGATTTAAAGCTGGTAGTTTAGGCGGCAAATCTAGAGCAAGAACAAAACGAATCAGATCGAAAATGCTCTGAATCAGATAATTAAAAGCTACAACTTATTTATAAAATTAGTAAGACGAGTGTGCTTGCTTGAAAACATTAACAAAAATAAAACTGAAAGAATGACGAGAGTTGCAGTTACCGGCGAAGAGATGAGAGGAAGTCGGCGCTGAGCTGAAGTTAGAGGAAGCTTATTCTAGGGTTTGTGGGTGGGACAGGGAAGTC